ACTTTGGATTTCATGAGACTAATGCATTAACCCTTAATTGTCTGAGGTCAGCTCCAAGAAGGAGACCTAGCTACCCTAATGTAAAAATTTCTGAAAAACCCGAAAAAACTACGATTTCTTATATGTACCATATATGTACGTCATGTATTCAGACTACATTTAGAGTAAAATATAATTTTGGGAAATTATTATTATAATTTTTATTATATTTTAATTAAAAGATTTTTAAAATCAGATTGGGAAGTTTATAAAAGTGTGCTATTTATAAAATCCACCATAAAAAAGATGGCGCGTGTATAGACTTTGAAATTTTGATCCCTCTATTTTATTGTTTTTAATGAGATAAATCAATAAAATCAAAAAGAAATCTTGTAGGTTATATCTGGTTATTAGTATTAATGTCCAAGAACTTCTTTCACAACTGAAAACGTATATATCTATCTACCTTGGGGGGATCTTTACGTTTCACGTCCACATATCCAATCAAGGGCCTGCAAATTAAAGCTAAATATTTGGCGAAAAATATGGAGTTTTCATTTTATCTTTTTAGGAATCGATGTAAATAGATCAGTTGAACACTATTATATAAAAACGCGTTTTTGGCCTAAGTGGTCTTTACGCCCTTATTCGCATCCATGCTTCATATGTATTAGGAACTCAAAATTAAGCTAATATTAATTCTAACGATAGCTACTGATTTTAAAGGGTAAAAGTAACGGTAACGTTATTTTGTATTACACATTGATTTCGGCTAAGAAAGGGTATTATAAAGGAAATAATAGCAACTTAATTAAATTAAGGCGGACCAGAATCAAAAGGTCTAAAGTGAATATGATCCGATTGACATTAAATTTCACAAAGGCATACTGTAGTATACACATATATAATACATTTCAATAGATATTAATATTCTATTGTTGAAACAGAAAGTCAACGTTTTGCAATTTGTGAAGTATTAACATTTCGATTACTTACTTAAACAAATGTAGGGTATCGCAGGCATTGAATATTTTTAAAAGCTTGTTTCTTCTGATTTTAAAGGCCCATCGCTTGATGATTGCATTCTTAAACTTAATTCCTCTGAAAAGTTAATATAAATCTGTTATTTATATTTACCTTCAAAATACAAGTACATACGATATACGTACAAACATACATTAATACGCTAAACTACATGTGGAAAAATATGACCATGTAGAATATAAATATAAACAGATTTGAAGTGTTTTTCTTAAAATCTTATTAACATTCTTACGCTAAAGTTTAATGAGCCATAATGAGTAGAAGTGTAAATGTTATCACTTTAATTATATTGATAAGCACAATATTGATATTATTCTCCAACAATAAAATATTTTTTAATATTTACAACTAGTTTTATTTAATTTTGTTGTCTTGAAAACAATTTTTATCGTAAAAATGCAGTTTCCCGCGAAACATCTTGAGGAAGATAACTAACTGCATTTATATGAAATATTTATTCCCAAATAGGGATTTGTACGGAAATTATAGGAGTTCGAATGTCTCTAAATTTGCCAATTTACAGTACTTTCAGAACTACTTCAAGAACGCTTGGATTTTTGCTCGACATTATTGATTTTTATTCGGATTGTGTCGCTCATAAAACTAAAGCTACCATGAAAGCTTTACAGAACAAATACATCTCAAGAACATTTTTGGAACTAGTTCTAGAAATTTTTATCAACGAGGTTCTCAAAAGTCTTTTTGGTACTAATATATACATATAACAAACAACTGGTTACTTAAAATCACTTAGAAGAAAAATTAGAACTTAAAAATGTGTCCTTTCAAGTTTTAAAAATATCCTGGGAATTTAATTGATTTTTTTTAATTTTTTTTATGTATTGTTTAAATTGTTCTATGGTTTTTTAAATTTATGGTTAAAGATTGAAACCACGAATTTTATATCATGCATTAGATTTCTGTTCAATTTTTGCCCTAACATTGTGATAAGAGCTGCCAGATAAATTTTGAAGAAATATCAGCATTTATCAGTACTAACATTTTAAAAATCGCGATATTTTGATATAATTTGGACCAAAAATTATTGAAATCGGTCCATTATTTCACCTAGCCTTCATACAACCGGAGCTCCCGATTTGGGCTTTTTATGCCATAACTACGTTAAATATACTAGTATCTCTCCAAAAAATCGGTACAACTAAATTTTATATAAGCACAAATGAAACTGCCGATTTTTGTAATGATCGGCCCATATTTGACCCTAGCCCCCATACAAACCCCCCTTTAATACGTCCAAAACTTACCTACAATCATTAGTATAGCAATAAAATTCAGCAAATTTTATGAGGATTGGCCTATGTTTCACCATATAAAGCCTCTTTTAGAAAATTAGTTTTTCATCAATAAATTGATTGATTGAATACATCGAAATTAAGGTAAAAGTCAACACTAAAGTTTCTTCATGAAAAATAAATAATTTCTAAAATATGATGTAGGATATCATATGGTCGTCCATGCCCGACTATACATTCCTACTTTTTTATATAGAAGGCTCTTGAGATCATAATTATATTAAATGTTCCAATATCTCTACAAAAATCGGCACAACTTAGTTTTGTATAAGTCGAAAAACGTAACGCAAAGTCTACTTCAGAAAATGATTTGAAGGTCAATAATTCACTTATAAACACGATCAAATTCTACATAAACTTTATCAGTAAACAATTGCAGCGATATTAAATGTGGATGTGCTTTTGCGAGTCCATGTTGTACGAATATTTACAGACTTTTAAATTTAAAAACGTATTATTTTAAACCACAGTTTATAAATATGTGGTTTCCTATTAATGATATAGAATTTATGTTTGCTTATTTTAACATTGTGAAATTTGATTTGAAAATTATTTACAGAAAAAAATAACTAATAGGTTTCAGAATTCGATTTTTTTTTCTCGACACTGATCTAGATCTAGCATGATCTGAACTATTTGTTTATAAATTGTGAAATTTTGATGCATTTCTACATCGCTAAGTACAACTATTTAGAAACGTTATTTTAATTGAAAATAAGTAATTTATATACATATGAATTTTATCCAATAAAAAATAACTTTTAAAAATAAAATAACACATACATACATATAACACATATAAATACACATACATATGTACATATGTAAATTGATTGTCACTTAGAAATTACATTATTGGTTCAAATTTAATTTTCAATGGAAACATCAGTATGTACCTACTACATTTTTTCCGAGACCACCCTATTGTACTTATACACATCTAGACAAAAAAATAAATACACTTCCATTCAATACATTTTCGTATATTAAATTTGAATCTGGCTTTAAGTGTTATTGGAAACTCTATGTTATTTTTTCGGTTTCGATATGACAATACCATTTATTGTAAAAAAACAAAATTATCTTCCATTTTCAAATTTTGGCATTTTTTGTTCGTAGAGAACTTTTAAAATACATTTTAATTATATTTGTATTTTTAAGTTTTTAATCGGTTTTTTGAAAAGGTTTGCGATTTTTATTAAACTTCTATTTAGTTTTTATAAAATAAATGGGAAAATATTTAATAGATGGGTTGAGGCAAGCTTTGAACTATCGAAAAGAAGAGAACTGCGTTGACGCTAAGAAATAAGGAAAAGGCTACGTTTTATTACCGGAACCTTGGATCGTTCCTTATTTTTTGCACAAAATGCGCTTAAGAGACAACCATCAGCTGAACACCGTGGAAATCCAAAGAAAACATCTCCAGCAACAGATAATCGTATAATTACTATGGCAAAAAAGACCCTTTCATCTCTTCCAGAGCCATTTCTGCAGATATTGGTAACGTAATTTCTTCCCGAACGGCTCGTTGAAGACAATACAATGCCAATTTACCTGGTAGAATAGCCAGAAGAATTCCTTTGCTTCGGCCAAAAAATTATAGATACGGCTAACTTTCGACAAAAATTTACTCAAATTGGTCCGGACCAGAGGGTGAATAAAAATGCTTTTAAGGTGGATTTTCTACCAAGATAATGATCCGAAGGACACCTCAACATTGTGCCAGGATTGGTTTAAGGGTAATGATGTGGTCTTACTGGACTGGCCAAGTCAGTCACCTGATCCCAACCTAATAGAAAACCTTTGGGGAGAGTTAAAAAGAAGAGTAGCTAATGAAGGTTTTCAAAATAAGAATCAATTACGGGCATTTATCCAGAAAACCAGTGGAAACCTACCGAAAACTGATCTCCGGTATGCCAAAAATGGTGGATAAAGTTATTCAAAATAATGGTTGTTACACACGATACTACCAAACAAAAGTTGTAATGAACAAACAAATTTAAAAATATTGAATTAGATTTACTTTTCTGGTACCTTTGCTGAATGTATGTACTTATTTTTTTGTCCACCATTTTAAAACATTTTTAAGAAGACTGAAAGCAGTTTAGGATATTAATTTATTTTTCTTTCGTATTTTTATTTTAAATCTTATAAAAAATTTAGTTATGTTCAGTTTTTAATCTATCTTCAATAAATATTTTATTATAAGTTGTTAAACAGAACTTTTACAGGTGTATTTATTTTTTTGTCCACATGTGTATGTATATGTATGTATTATTTTAAAGTAGGTAATTTTAATAGAAAACATAAATATTGTGGGAAAAATATTTTACTAAAAGCATTTTGCAATAGACATTGGATAAATATTAATGCTTTTTTTATTTTATAAATTTGTTTATAGATTTTTTAAAGTGATATTCATGTTTTGAATATTTGATGTGGAAATGATTCTTTAATTTTCTCACTAGAAATCTCACCCTGTCTACTGATATATTTTGATATATTTATGTATGAATATGCAATAAAATGACTAAATGCTGAGATGATCGGTCTATTAATTACAGTGACAGTTTCCGAAAAATACCTTAAATTTTAATCATTGCTCATGTAAGAACTTTTAAATACGATAACACTCCTAACTTTTTTTTATTTTCTCTAACTTACCTCATTTGTTGTGGATCCATGATATTTAACTGCATAATTGTAGTTTTCTATGTTGATTTCTTTTTTTTTTTAATTTGTGTTTTTATTTTTTAGTCAATCTTAACGTTATTTCATACAACAAACCAGTTAAGTATTTAGTCAATCAATTCAATTATTCTATTAGCACCTTTAATTTAATCTTGATAATTTGAACTGAACTTTGTTCATTATGTAGAATCATTATGTAGAATCATTATGTAGAATCGAGTATAGAAATTATGTAGTTTCACACGCATCTCTAAAAAAACAAGAAAAGAATTGAATTGAATTTTGTACACACTTTTCTTTAAATGTCAATTACATGTTTACGTTTTATGTAAGTACCGTTTTTATTTCACGTTTATTCGTAATTTGTCAATTTGTATAAAAATAAACAAATCACAAACAACAATAATAATACACCACCAACATCAACAGTAGTAATAACAACAACAACAACTGCTGCATAATTAAAATGCACTATTTGTAAATAAATATTTAAGAGAACGTGTTTAAGCATGTTTGTATGTTTGCATGTACATTTATAGATGTGTAGTGGGCCAGATCAAAATAATACGTAAAAGCATACAGCAATAACAATATTCCGCACACACGTTTTATAGTTTTCTGATAAGGCAAACGAACCTAAAAAAGTACATTATTAATTTCTCTTAATAAAGTTTTTTCCACTTCTTTCATATGTATGTCTCTAATTGGAGAACTGATAATAATGAGCTCTCATTTTCGGGAACACAATTAACATATCAGGGGTGTACAACATATGAAGGGTGTAGAAACATAAGCAGCATTCTCCATTTTTGTATTTTTTGAATTGGAAGAAGATGTAAAGCTTGTAAAATGTTATATACATACAGTGTCTCTCATAAGTATTCGAATTTATGTAAACTATGAAAAGAAACCAAATTTAATAATATATTTTGTGTGGAAAATAAATAAATTAATTTGTTATATTGTCTAGATAGTCCTTAGTTTTGATATCACGCCCCTTAAAAATTGGAAAACTTAAATTTACTTAAATTAGTTGTGCTTTTTTAAAAAAAGTCCATGAAACTACTTCACAAAAGTATGCGAATTTTTCCTGTATTTCATATTTGATCATATTATACGATACACAAATTTTAGAATCGCATGGTTTTATGCTTAATATGGTTTTAAGGGGTTACTATCAACCGCATGGATATATTTTTGACCCATTTGGTCCACAATTTTGGGGGATTTGTACCCTCTTTTCATGAAATATCATTAAAATGGCGATTTTTGGCTATATTTGTAATGTTTTCACCCTTTTTCCAGAAATAAAACCAAAATTTAATATTGGAATTTAATAGAACCCATAGGGTATCTAAAAATAATATTTTTTGTTATAAGGATCTGTACTTAAACGTTCCAAGATGTATTTTTGGTATCGTTTTTCAGTTTCTAATTGAATTATCTGGATCATAAGTCCCTTTTCGTACCTCTAGGGACGATATTTTTCGACAAAGTTGTCTAGTGTATATTCATGTACATATTGGCACTAATGTATTTTAAATTTTCAATATATTATAGCGGTATACAACCCCAAAACATGCCTTAACAAAACGTCATCCTATATAGTAGATTTCAGTTTTTACTACTCGTAACTTTCACGCTTATGTTGCCCGTTACAATAACACTGTAAGTCCTAAATTTTGGTTTTAATTTGATCATAGTAAATAATATTTAAACACATATCAACATTTTTGATGTGATCATAATGATATCGTGCCATGCAGCATGGAGGCCATTGGTATATAAAAATAATGATTTTACTATTTTGAATGGTGTTTCTTCGAGGCATGTTTTGGAGTTGTACACTTCCACAACACATTGAAAACTTAAAATGTATAAAAGCTGATATCTAAAAGAATATATACCAGAAAACTTTCCCCGAAAATAGTTGATCCTAGTATTATAAAAATGGACTTAAGTTCCAATATATTGAATTAGCGAAAGAAGAATGATCAGAATAATTTATCTTGGAACGTTTAAATACAGATTCTAGTAACAAAAGATATTATTTTTAGATACCCCAAAGGGTCTTTTAAGTCCCAATATCAAATTTTTGTTTTATCTCTGGAAAAAAGGAGAAAAATTTACAATTATGTCCAAAAATCGCCATTTTAATGATATTACATGAAAAGAGGGTACAAATTCCCCAAAATTGTGGACCAAATGGGCCAAAAATATATCCTTTCCGTGGATAGTAACCCCTTAAAACAATATTACGCATAAAAACCATTCGATTCTAAAATTTGTGTTGCGTATAATATGATCAAATATGAAATACAGGAAAAATTCGTATACTTTTGTGAGGCAATTTCATGGACTTTTTTTAAAAAAGCACAATTAATTTAAATCAATGCAAATTTTTCAAGTTTTAAAAAGCGTGATATCAAACATAAGGACTATCTAGACAATATAACAAATTAATTTATTTATTTTGCACACAAAATATATTATTAAATTTGGTTTCTTTTTATAGTTTACCCAAATTCGAATAATTATGAGAGACACTGTATGTATACATATATGTACATATATGTATATATATATGTTATATATATACACTATCGGACAAAATAAAGTGCAAAAGTGCTCATGCTACATTATTTTATCGAAAAATCTGTTAAATGATTATTGAATATGGAACTTTTTTTAAATTCATTTAGTTTATATACAATGCTACAAAAATAACTATAAAACAAATTTATTCCACCTAAAATTTTTCTGTATAACATTTAAAATTAAAGTAAATTCACTTTTTTGTCGGACAAAATAAAGTGTAAATTTTATATATCATTATTTTAATTTTATGTATATCAAAATTTTTTATCTATTTTGGTTCTGATTTGAATATCTGGATCTACTCAAGTCATTTTTGTAATTATTTTACCATTATTATTCGCAATCGCTTTCACTTTCCCTTGCTTTCTCCCATACTATTATTTTTAAAAGAAATCCGTTTTTGTTCGCTATTTCAGCGGAATTTTGTGATCAATTGTGGTCAAATATTAATCTATTAGATTTAGGGCGATGCTCTGAGCAGGTCATTCAAATTTTTCAGTGTTTTTTTTTTACAATAATGTTTTTAACCTTAGTCGTGTGTTTGAAGTCATGAATCGGTTGAGGCATTAAGTCTCCCAAACCCATTTTTACGGCATTTATTTCCAAATTTTTATTAAATAAGCTCGTGAATTGCTCATTTGTTATTAGTTACTCCATTTTCACTAAGATTCTCGCTCTTAAAGTTGAATAGTGTAACAATACCGATAGCCCTCCACCATAATATTTGAAACCTGGGGTATTGTTTTTTAAATTTTGTATATTGAAGGGCTTAATTCACACTCATTGTCGACATTTCAAAATTTTCGGTAGAAATTGGGACTCATCTGACCAACCACGTAAATTTGATCTAAAAAATATGAAATTAAATACTAAAATCGAAAAAAAATTTTAAGCTTTTAAATATGTTGGTGAAAGATTGAAGGTATGGGTCAGTTGACTCTTCGTAAGTGTCCAATTTTTAAGGTTAGGTGTGGGGAACCTAGGTGAAATTTATTCAAAAAGCTCCAATGAATACTATATGAGCATATTGCAGTGAAATCTTAAGATCAGTGCCTTCGAAATGGACTTGGGCAACTTTATATTTCGGCAAGATAATAAGCTTAAGCACTTGATAAAGTTAAAAAATAACATTACTGTAGGAAAAATCACTGAAAATTGAAATAAGTTGCTCAGAGCAAGGGGAAGGGAAAGCGATTGCGAATAATAATGGAGAACAAAATTACCAAAATGGCTTAAATAGATACAGATATTAAAATCAGAACCAAAATAGATAAAAAATTTTGATATACAAGAAATTTAAATAATGATATATAAAATTTACACTTTATTTTGTCCGACAAAAAAGTGAATTTATTTTAATTTTAGATGTTATGCAGAAAAATTTTAAGTAGAATAATTTAGTTTTATTGTTATTTTTGTAGCATTGTATATAAACTAAATGATTTTGAAAAAAAATTCCATATTCAATAATCATTTAACCGATTTTTCGCTGAAAGAATATACATGAGTACTTTTGCACTTTATTTTGTCCGATAGTGTATATAACATTTTACAAGAGAAACAATAAAGTCGCTAACTTTTTTGTGCACATTTGTTTTGATACATAAGAATCAACAATAAAGTCGATTTTGAATTTTTGAGTTTTAGATAACGATATTGTATATTACTGCTATTTCTGGGCGTTACAAATATCAAAACAAACATACGTACATAATAAGTACATTCATATGTACATTATAACCCTCACTTTAGTGTTGCGTATAATAATGAGCCTTTTATAAACTATTTAAACAACTTCAATAGACCATTTCTTATAGAAATGGCAGATATGTACTTGTCAATACGTAGTTAGTAGCTATGGAATGCTGCTGTTGGTATCTGCACAGGTGACAAGTATTTTGTGGAAGCTGACTTACTATTCAATACCTTGTTGTTTCTTGCAATAAATAACGGAATTTACTTCTTGTGGTAAAATCGCTTACTTTGATTATCGTTTTTCCACTCTCTTATGTTATTGATTTCTCTTTGAATTCACTCTTAATAATTTTCATGTCAACCAGTGTTGCCAATTGTCATAAACAAATTGTTATAAACAAATTAACACCTGTCATATATGATCGACTTTGAGGATTGTAAAATCCAAAAAAAGTTGAGAATATTTCTTCTGGTTCAAATCAAGAAAATTTTTATATCACCGAAAGATGGGGCGGTATATTGATTTTGTATATACATATTTAAACTCTTATAATATAAATCTATGTATCTGGCTATGCCTGCCGCATGTCTATTGAAAAGACGATAAAACGGAAAAAATTACTGATATTTTCTAAAAATATCGGATCGTAAGATCACGCATAAATCTGATCGTTATGTAGCGATTATGATAAATGTTTCAAAGTATGGCGAAAATCAAGCCCCAGTTGACCGGAAGCCCCCTACAGAGTCAAACAAATATTTATTTAAAAATCAAACACAACTGACTTAAATATGACACGAAAATGAGTCTCAAATTATTATTATCAAATTATTATTAAAGTATAGCTTATGATTCGAATACGAGCGTTAATACACTATTTTAATCTATGCGATATGATCAAAAATTTTACAAAATTCTGAGAGGGAAAGTCATCATGATTATAGGTCGTTTATCTC